TAAGATGCCTTCCCGTTTCCCGCCCGTTGTGTTTTACACTCCCAAGGAACTGGGCGGTCTGGGAATGTTGAGCATGGGCCACGTCTTGATTCCGCAATCCGATCTGCGTTGGTCCAAGCAAACGGACGTGGGCATAACCCATTTCCGCTCCGGTTGGTATTCAGCAAATCGAAATACTAGTGCGTATGCTAATTTGCATTTATACTACTCACAGGTATGTCCCACGATGAGGATCAGCTTATTCCCAATCTGTATCGCTACATTCAGCCGTGGGAGAGTGAGTTTATAGATTCACAGCGCGTGTGGGCGGAATACGCATTGAAGCGTCAAGAGGCGAATGCCCAGAACCGTAGGCTCACACTGGAGGATTTGGAGGACAGCTGGGATCGCGGTATTCCACGTATCAATACATTATTCCAAAAGGATCGTCACACACTGGCCTACGATAAGGGCTGGCGCATTCGTACAGAGTTCAAACAATACCAGGTGCTAAAGCAGAATCCCTTCTGGTGGACGCATCAGCGCCACGACGGCAAGCTGTGGAACCTGAACAATTACCGCACAGATATGATCCAGGCGTTGGGAGGAGTGGAGGGCATTCTGGAGCATACGCTTTTTAAGGGCACCTACTTCCCCACTTGGGAGGGTCTCTTCTGGGAGAAGGCCTCCGGTTTCGAGGAGTCAATGAAGTACAAGAAGTTGACCAATGCTCAGCGCTCAGGTCTTAACCAGATTCCTAATCGTCGATTCACATTATGGTGGTCACCGACTATCAATCGAGCGAATGTGTATGTTGGTTTCCAGGTGCAGCTGGATTTGACTGGCATATTCATGCACGGCAAGATTCCGACACTGAAAATCTCTCTGATTCAAATATTCCGAGCCCATTTGTGGCAGAAGATCCACGAGTCGATTGTTATGGATTTATGCCAGGTATTCGATCAGGAACTGGACGCCTTGGAAATCGAGACGGTGCAGAAGGAAACCATCCATCCACGTAAGTCCTACAAAATGAACTCGTCGTGTGCCGACATCCTGCTCTTCCCCGCCTACAAATGGAATGTATCGCGACCTTCACTGCTGGCCGATACCAAGGACACTATGGATAACACCACCACCCAAAAATACTGGCTGGATATCCAGTTGCGTTGGGGCGATTATGACTCGCACGATGTGGAGCGCTATGCCAGGGCCAAGTTCCTCGATTATACCACTGACAATATGTCCATCTATCCCTCACCGACGGGTGTGTTGATTGCCATCGATTTGGCCTACAATCTGCACTCCGCATACGGCAACTGGTTCCCCGGCTGCAAGACCCTCATTCAGCAGGCCATGGCCAAAATCATGAAAGCAAACCCCGCGCTTTATGTACTGCGTGAGCGCATCCGCAAGGCGTTGCAGCTCTATTCTTCGGAGCCAACAGAGCCGTACCTCAGTTCGCAGAATTACGGAGAGCTGTTCTCGAACCAGATCATCTGGTTTGTGGACGACACCAACGTGTATCGTGTTACCATCCACAAGACGTTTGAGGGAAATCTGACAACGAAACCCATTAACGGAGCAATCTTCATCTTTAACCCGCGAACGGGTCAGCTCTTCCTTAAGATCATCCACACCTCAGTGTGGGCTGGCCAGAAGCGTTTAGGCCAGCTGGCCAAGTGGAAGACTGCTGAGGAAGTGGCCGCTTTGATTCGATCATTGCCCGTGGAGGAGCAGCCCAAACAAATTATTGTGACGCGCAAGGGCATGTTGGATCCGCTGGAGGTGCACTTGCTCGACTTCCCCAACATTGTGATCAAGGGCTCCGAGCTTCAGCTACCGTTCCAGGCTTGTCTTAAAGTCGAGAAGTTTGGTGACCTCATTCTGAAGGCTACAGAGCCCCAGATGGTGCTTTTCAATCTGTATGACGATTGGCTGAAGACCATATCGTCATATACGGCTTTCAGTCGACTTATCCTCATTCTGCGTGCTCTCCACGTCAATACTGAGAGGACAAAGATCATCCTAAAGCCGGACAAGACCACCATAACGGAGGCGCATCATATTTGGCCCACTCTGACCGACGAGGAATGGATCAAGGTGGAAGTGCAGTTGAAGGACCTCATTCTCGCCGATTACGGCAAGAAGAACAACGTAAATGTGGCTTCGCTCACTCAGTCCGAGATCCGTGACATTATCCTGGGCATGGAAATCAGTGCTCCCTCAGCGCAGCGCCAGCAGATTGCAGAGATCGAAAAACAGACCAAGGAGCAAAACCAACTGACGGCTACCACTACGCGTACCACAAACAAGCATGGTGACGAAATCATTACCTCTACCACATCGAACTACGAAACGCAGACGTTCAGCTCGAAGACAGAGTGGCGAGTGAGAGCTATCTCCGCCACCAATCTGCACTTGCGAACGAACCACATCTACGTGAGCTCGGACGACATAAAGGAGACCGGCTACACCTACATCCTGCCCAAGAACATACTCAAGAAGTTTGTCACGATCTCGGATCTGAGGGCCCAGATAGCTGGCTACTTGTACGGTGTGAGTCCACCGGACAACCCACAGGTGAAGGAGATCCGCTGTATCGTAATGCCACCGCAATGGGGCACTCATCAGACGATCAACTTGCCCAACGCCCTGCCCACACATCAGTATCTCAAGGACATGGAGCCTCTAGGCTGGATCCACACGCAGCCCAATGAGCTGCCCCAACTGTCACCACAGGACATCACGACGCACGCGAAGATCATGCAGGAGAACTCCAACTGGGATGGCGAAAAGACGATCGTGATCACGTGCTCCTTTACTCCTGGCTCCTGCTCACTTACCGCCTACAAGCTGACGCCTTCGGGCTTCGAGTGGGGCTCCAAGAATACGGACAAGGGTAACAATCCCAAGGGATACCTGCCTTCGCACTACGAACGTGTTCAGATGCTGTTGTCGAACAAGTTCCTTGGGTTCTTCATGGTGCCGGCGCAAAGCAGCTGGAACTACAACTTCATGGGTGTGCGCCACGACCCTAACATGAAGTACGAACTGCAGCTGGCCAACCCGAAGGAGTTCTACCACGAGCTCCATCGCACCTCGCACTTCCTGCTCTTCTCGAATCTCGAGGACGGCGGCGATGGAGCCGGCGCGGATCGGGAAGATGTGTACGCGTAGACGATACGCATCTGGAGTCTTAGGGTTCTCGTTTTAGTGCATACAAACAATTTTATAAGCCTGTTTTCAAAATGCTAGCATGTAGGGTACACTTTGTAATAAAAACCACTCTTTTCCCAACAAGTCACATCGTTGCCAGGGGATTTATTACTCCGCCGCCGATATTAGGCTTAATATTCATAACATTCGTTAACGGTAAGTGTTCTTTCTGTATGTATGACTAAAATTAATGCTAAATTTTTTGTTTGGTTCGCTTTTGGTTCCTGTTCCTGGTTCCGGTTTCTAGGTACGTTCGTGTCACTGCTGACCCGCATTCAGGAGCACTTCCACAGCACGATGGCCAGGTTGCCGGCGAAGAACAGGTAGAGAATGTTCTCCGTCTCGTAGGAGACCTCAAAGCCGAACCCTTCGCCCACAACCACATGCCAATAGATGCCAAACTTCTTGTCCATGTTTTCCTTGATGATTTTGGCAGCGTGCTGGAAATGTATGGAAAGTATTATTCATCGTCTTTATCCTGTTCGCTTCATTTATCATTGAAGAAATAATTGATTACAAAAGGGTGTTTAGTTTCAGAGCATTCAAATCAAATGAAATATTAAGTACAATTTAAGACTTATACTTTGCACTTCAAGCTTAACAAACACGATAGATTATACACTTTATTCCTCTTGGCATGTGACATTTAACCATTTGGATGATAACTTCTCAACATGCAAATAACGGCTAAGCCCTGTTAATGGGTTACTTTTAATTACCTCGTAATTGGACGAATATTTTTCGCAGGCGGTAATGGACAGTTCAATGGCCTCTATCCGCATCTCCTCGTTCATGTCAGTGTGCTTAAATCGGGAATCAGCCATCAGCAAATAGTCCGGAATCTACTTAACTATACTTAACCAACCTTCACCAGAGGATAAACGTGCACGATTTTCTTCTCGCCCTCCTTACCGCCCTCCTCGTCCGCCATGTCTGCGATTCACCAACGACTGAAGGAAGGACTATCACCAGGCAAGCACTATCACGGAGCCAGGCTAATGTAATAAAAATCGAGTTAAATTCCTATTTACATGTGACACACAAGTCAAGGTAAAGGCAGTATACTGCTGTAGCTATGTGAATGGCAGGTGAATGTTTATGAATTCTCCGTTTTTGCGCTATTGTCACGGCAGTTTGGCTGCTATGGCAATTTGGTTTTGGGCACGGTTTCGCTTTCGATTGGCCTGCCAGCCTGTCAGGAGCGAGGTTGACTTGCAACTAACGATGGCTCCGGATCCGCCGGCTCCGTGCTGACGCCAACTCCATTAACTGGCAACCACAGCCGGAGTTGCTGTGCCACGAAGGGGGAAGGTACTTGTGTGAGCCGGGGAGTTAATAGCTACACTCGGTGTGCGCTGCGTTTGCGCCAAGTCTGCATGCTAGGGGACGTATGTACATACGTCTCTTGCTCCCTGCATCCTGCATCCCCTGATTTTGTTGCAAACAAAAGCAATTTCCGTGCGGGTGCCACTGCGAGACAGACGTCGCGGCGTCATAGTCATCATCTTGGCGGCAAGGCAACCCCAATTTTCGCAACCATTTCTGCACTGAAAGTGGTCAACTGGGGGGAGGAATGGTCACCCATGTTCTGGGAAATCCACCCGCACCCCTGATGATGCACTCAAAATGACAACAGATTGTCAGTCAACACAACTTGGTGAATCGGTTATTGCAAAGTCTTAAATGGAATTAATGACCCAAAGAAATAATGCACAAGTTAGAAGCTTTGGAAATGTAATTCACAATCCAGAAGAATCTAATAAATCAAGATCTTAACAAAATTATTGTAATATAAGCTCGGTTAATGATCTTCGTTTTGTCAAGAATTCTTTATCGTTAATGACAGAATGATTTGAAAACATTTTTTTAAAGGAAATTTGTAATGCACAAACGATGGTTTCCACACAAAATACATCGGTTGGTTGGAAATTTGGTTAAACATATAGTATCGTAAGTTATGATTCCCGGCTTTGATCCCAGCAGTCCTCCGCTCCCTCGTGGTCAATTAACGCGGCCTCCTGGGAAAGACGATCAGACAACTCGTAGGGATCAGACCATTCCGTTTCCTGATCCGAATTATATAATAAAACACACTCGTTCTCAACTTTTAAGTTATTTTCCTGTAGCAGTTCCTCGATAAGTTCCTTAGTAGCACCTACGTGTTCTAGACGATCCAATAAGACAGCAATAGGCATGTTACAAGTGTCCTCGTAAGTATCTACATCAACCTCACAAGAGTTGAAACGTCTTTTGAAACGCTGAAACTCCATTTGTACATCGGTCCAGATCTTTTCCTTCTCGGTGCGCGTATCCACATAGAATGGATATTCCACGGCATGAATTAGCTTGTAAGGATTGGATTCCTTGTCAATATTGGGTTTGGTAACCAAAGGGTTAACCAACGGCATCTCCAGCAAATCTTTGCGAACAAATATGGCTATCTGTGAGACGTGGCCCACAGATTCGTATTCCTTGGGCGGATTACCCACTCCCGTTAAGGAAAACATGTAGTTCGGGTACTTCTCCACAATATCCGAACACCAGGTTTTGAACTCATTGCGAGACCACTCGAACTTGTGATCCTCGTGGCGAAAACCATTTGGCAACAGGGGATTGAACCGTGTAAATATAACGTTAAAGTCCGAGTTTGGTGTGCTAAAGACTACCAGTTTTGGCTGCATGAAACCAAAAATATTGACTGGAATTTTGGCCAAAACATCGTCATAAACATGCTCGATTCTGAAATGAAAACATTAAATAGTTATGAACAAAAAAAAAAAAAAAATACAAAATGTATGTGTGTGTGTTTTAAGCAATAAGAAACTTACAATTCTAGTGCGACTACAGCATCTGTGTCCCTCAATTCGTCCGAAGAATCTGCCACACTTCCATGAAGAATTTGAACATTTAGAGGATTCGCGCGTCTCCGTATATAATCGGAAACTAATGGATTAATACTGGTCAAGTTTTTCATGAGCAAGGGCTCGTCAATGTCCACCTGCAATAAAATTGGGTATTTAAAAATAACCGTCACTTCATGGAAACAAATGGGAAAGGAACGGGCAAAATCTAAGATTTAAATTCAACACAGCCCTGAATACTAAAATAAGGTTTTTAAAATATATAAATGCTGTAATGTTTAATTACATTATATCAAAACAAGTGCACTTCATTATTGAATATAAATTAAATAAAATAAAAGTGTATTTCATTATTGCTTTTAAATTAAATAAAATTGTATTGATAAGCTAATCAAACAAAACTTAGATAACTATTTTCTATATAACATTGATTCCGAAAATAAGAGATTTTAATTACTATTTAAACTTAAAATATTTCAAAGAAACACAAAACATACAATCTAAATTACTATAAAAACGTTGTTTTGTAAAATACACCTTTCCCACTTTTCAAGACAACGGTGACGCTTAAAAGTATATTTACATCTTCCCCTATGGTCACACCACAAAACTGAGTGCCTGTGTGTGTGCGTGTGCGGAGAAGTGCACAGGAAGAATGTGTAATTGTTACGAAAATCCAAATGGAAGCAAAATTATAGTGCAAAGCATGTTGTGAGAGTGCAATAGTGCATCTTTGCACCAAGTGAAAAATGTAAGCATTGAAAATCAAGCTCCCAAGCAATTGAAAACGGTGAAAAACACCCAAACATTTGGAACGGGCCAAAAGAAAACGAAGAAAAACAAGAAGAAGAGAACGGGTAATACGTGAGAAAAATACATACTGAAAAATCAATTCGACTTAACAGCCCAATAGCAAATGATTGGATGGAGAAAAGTATTAAAATCAAAGGGAGAACGCTGTGCAATCGAAAAAATATGTCAGCATTTCGTTCTTTGTTTAATAATGCCGGCCAGATAATCGATTTTTTTCGGGACCTCGGTATGTTTGTATGTCGTGTTGTTTGTGTTTCCAGACATGGTGGTGCGTTCGCATTTGTTTGTGTTTGTATTCGTGCCCCGGACGCGCACCAATCTAGTTCGCTATGCAACACTGCAACATAACACAAAAACTAAAATATCCGCATGAAATTCGATAAAAACTAAATAGAAGAATCACTCATTCCAATAGAGCAATATGCAACAAAAAAGTACTCTTGCATACTCTGTTGCAATCTTCGCCTGAACTCATCCTTAAAAATAACTATTCCCCGCGTTGTCCAACACTGCAAGGGAAAAAATAAATGAATGTGATAAAGACGGATTAAGGCAAATAAAAAAAACAAAACAACGGAAATCCCTTTCAAATTTATCAGCTTTCATTTGAATAAAAATCATAGTACTATACTCATAACTTAAAAATAGATATTTAGCAACCATTAATCTTTTCTTTCATCAGCAGTTGAAAGAGAATCACACTCGAAAGCGGAATCGCACAAAAACAAATCAACCTTCTTAAACAATAACAAGCAAACCCTATAGACGTGAGCATCGAAGCACAAAAACTAAGGAAAAGTGCAAAATCGCCTAAGAGCCATCGACAGTTGTCGCGATGGGTAAGCGCCTCCAATTGGAGCGGCCGACCACGGATCGCAGTGCTCGCAAGCGCAAGCGTTCTGCGGTCAAGGCCGCCGAGAAGCGCCAGCGCTTGAGCGGTGGCTCCAGCAGCGCCAATGGCTTCGAGTTCCACGAGAACGACGATGAGGAGTCCTGTTCCTCGGCAGGATCTGCTGCCGGCACTGAGGCTGATCCCCCCACACTACTGCACACACCACATCCACGCAGCCTGCTCTTGACGGGAGCCAGCATTGCCAGCGATCACAACAACTCCAGTGTGATGGAGTCACCGCGGCCGGTCTACACGCTCCGACCCTCGGTGGTCAACGGAACCATTCTGAGAGATGTGCTCTCCAAGGCCTGGCGCTTGGGTCGACCAATAGGTAAGTGCACTACACAAGCAAGTCTAATTTTAAGAGAATAAACCCCCCATTTGTTTCAGGAAAGGGCAACTTTGGCGAGATCTTCCTAGCCTCCGACGACACTGTATGCCCCGCCAGCTCGGAGACAGCAAAATACGTGGTCAAAATTGAACCGCATTCAAATGGACCACTGTTTGTTGAGATTCACTGTCTGATCAACACATCCCAAAACAAGGGTATGCTGTGGAAAAGCTCTGCATCTTCACATTTTTATCCTTACACGTTTTTAGATTTAACAGATGTCGCAGAAGATGCTGCAAGCCTGCCAGCCCCACAGACGCATGCCCTCAGCAGGGGACCGCCTTCTGGAATTCCCAGCTTTATTGCGTCGGGCACTCACTATTTTGGAGACGTTCGCTACCGCTTTCTGGTGCTGCCGCGCTTCGATCGCGATCTGCACTCGCTGATCAAGAACTCAAGGGTACAGCAGAAGTCACTCCTAGTGCTCGCTGTACACATCATCGATGTCCTAGAGAATCTGCACGATAAGGGTTATTGTCATAATGATATTAAGGCACAGAATCTGATGGTGTCCAAGTGCAAGTATCTTAGGAGGCAGGCAGTGCCCAAGGGTAATGGCTACGAGGATCACTACGAAGAGAAGCAGCAGACTACGGACAGTGGCAACAGCTCAGAGCAGGAGACCAACGACGATGACTACTTCCTGAAGAGCGAGAAGTTCGCCCTGAAAAAGATTGTCGATATTAAGCAGGATGAAGACGAAGACGACGAGGACTTCGATGATGGCGCCACGTCGAACAGCAACAATAGCAACAGCGTAGACATCTTCCAAACTCCAGTGAACAAAAAACGATCCACACGCAACCCAGTTCAGTTCAGCGGCTCCAATCCGGTGCGCTCTTGCCGTCGTGAAAAGCGCAACTCCATGTACGAGGAGATGGTCAAGTCGCACTACTTGCGACCCACCAAGCGGATTAGTTATCGCGAGGAGTTTAACGAAGACGGCTACCCCAAGGATACAGCGGAAAACAGTGATGAATCGCCTGAATCTTCTGATAACGAGTCGGATGAATTTATTCCTCCTTCCTCCCGTCGCTCCGCTAGCAAAAGAGGCAAAGGCACTCAGATAGCCACTCCGAAAAAATGCCCGGTTTCAACGCGGGCCACCCGCCACCAGGAGAAGGTTAAAAAGGAACCGAACGGTGATCAAAAATCACGCAGTAGGGGCAGCAAGCACTTGGACAACAACCCATCAGAGTACAAGTTCCTACCCACAGAGGAGGAACATGTTTTTCTTATCGACTTCGGCCTGGCTTCTAAGTTTCAGGATCGCGGAGTCCATCGCCCTTTTATCATGGATCAGCGAAGGGCGCATGACGGAACGCTAGAGTTTACGTCACGTGACGCCCACCTGGGTGCCCATTCGCGACGAAGTGATCTAGAGTGCCTAGGCTATAATTTGCTGTACTGGTCCGAGGGTTATCTGCCATGGAAGGACGTGGCGCAGCAGCAGCAGCAGGAGAAAGTGCATCGCGCTAAGGAGCTATTTATGACTGATGTGCCAGAGATGCTGCGACAGTTCTATGGGAAGCAAGTTCCTAAATATCTGGGAGAGTTCCTGCTGCAGATCGGTCAGCTGGCCTACCAAGAGCGACCCAACTACGAGCGCTACCGCAAAATCTTTAAGCGCGAGTACCAGCGCCTGGGTTACGATCCCAGTCAAATGCGTCTGAGCAGTGATGAGATCCTCCGCACCTGTGTCTCCGCCAAGGACGTGGTGGATGGTAGCAAGTGTGATATCTTCGAGCTGAACAACAAGGCAGCCGCGAATGTGATGAGAAACTCAACGCTAAGCACTCCGTTCCAGGAGCACTCACTCACGAACCGCGTATCGCCTAAAAATCTGCGTTCCAAGTCGAATAAGAAAACGACGAAAAAGAAGTTTTCTTGGGCGGAGGTGCTGTCACAGGATCCTGATCAAATAGCCCGCGAAAGGGCAGTAAAGGAGTTTGAGCGGGAGGAGACCATATGCCCGCTAGAATCCCGTCTTCCAAGGCGCTACGAAGGTAAACCCACTTACGCGATACTAGATATGGAGCAGAGGCGACGCGAAAAGGGTTTGGTTGTCCAGGAGCATAATGAGGAGGAGGAGGAGGAGGAGGAAGAAGAAGAAGACGATGAAGAGGAGAACCAGGAGGCAGTGGATGATGAGCAAAAAGATGATGAGGCTGCAGATAGCGTCGAAGGCGAGGTAATATTCATGAAAATAATATTTATTAATTTATCGAACCATTTAAAAGAAGATATGCAACGTGTCTTTGGTTGGACGAGATTTTTGTGAAGTTTCAAAAGAGCTATTTTTTATATTAAACACAGGATGAATCGGATAGAGCAATGGAGGAGAGTGACTACTCCGATAATTCCCAGAAACATGCGCGTGGCCGTACCAAGGCCACCACCCGAAAGCGAACTACTAACAGGCAGACCCAGTCCCAGCAGAACCAGCCGTCGACCAAGGTCCATCGCGGAGGGAGTCGTCCGAGCAAGAACTTGGGCGTCGTCAAATTCGCCGCCGGAGCCATAAGCAAGAACCGCTCTACGCCGCTATCGGCAGTGGCCAGTAACAAACGTGGCTGCGCCACACGTAAGGAGAATTCCACTCTGGCATCGGCCACCGGCGAGGTAGAGCGAAAGCTGAAGACAACCCGTACGCGCAGAGCTCTTTATAAGACTGAACCCAAACACGGCGAGCACGATGTGGAGAATAACTCGAGTCTGCTCCTAGTGCAGAACCTGTACGGCGAATACGATGACGAGAACAACTACGGCAAGGGGCGGAGTGTCCACTCGTCCAGGCACTGTCGCAAATAATTGCCAGATGACAGATGACAGTTAGAAATAAAGACTATAGACGATCAATAAGAAGTCGGACGGCTAAGGAAACGGAAGAACAGAACAGAGAAACAGAAAAGATCAGAAGAAACCTAAATTCGCTTTCAAGTATTTTTAGTGTTAATTAAGGTACGAACAGGACAGAACCTACTTATAATCATACTTCGGACCTGTCAGCAGGCGGGGTATGGACGCAAACTAGTGAGACCGACCGACATCATGTGTAATTTTGGGTTTTAAACATTTGACATAAGTTGACATAAGGTTTTTTGATTGGCACGCTCAGCTCCATAGGGAAAATGTTGTTGAATTATCCATTATACCATGTAGTCCCCAAATTAAGCGATGTTTATATGTGTAGTAGGTGCACAGGAGCCGTGCGCCATTGGCCTTGATAGGAAATCCTTGATTTTTATATATTTTAAATTTATTTGCGAGTTTTGTGTTAGTTTTGTTAGGCTACCTATTATATTATAGACCACAATGTACGACTCGTTTCACCCACATTTCATGCAGCCAGGTACATACTCTCCTCAAAAGTATTTAATATAACTAGATAATGGTTATTTCATAAAAACAATAAAAGTCTAAGCTAGGATATGCGTGTATAAACAGCAGCGGAAATAAATAAACTAGAATTGTATTTCCTTAACAATCAACTTGCGCTAGTTTAACTTCTAGTCTAAGCTCAAGCTCTTACCAGTCCAATATGTTCTATAGTCTCAATGCGACGCATTAGCTGGAAGAAGCGCATCTCGGCACAGCCGAACTCCACGACCTTCCTAATCTGATCCATCCAGCGGGCGTCCTCCAGGATTTGGATGGTGGCACAGTATCGCTGCTCGTACACCGGCGGATCAAAGGTAATGCCGGTTTCAGTCATTCTGGTCAGGGTTTGGAAATCCCCGCAACTAAACTTATGGGAAAACATTGCGCGTTTCGTTAGAGTGACCACTGGAATACGTGATGATAATCTTACTGTCGTGCTATTGGCAAATTATACAGAACTTTGGCATATGCATATCGATAGTTCTTGTTTTCAAAAATGGGCGGTCAGTTTTGAGGCACTGAACTTCAATCGGGCAACGAATTAAGAAGAACTCCACTTCTTATAGCTTGTGCTCTTTGTAATGCTCCTATTTAAAATTCTATAAAGACTTGAACATAAGTATTTATAAATGGTTTTGCCGCCTTTCTACAATACTAATCAAAATCGATACTTTCGATGTTTTAATAATTGGGCAGTAAGTATTGATGCATTGAAGTCTTAGGGTTCTAATATTCTACTATATTAAATGCGGCTACTTAATTTAAGCCATATGCATAACATAGCTTGGCAAATACTCTTTATTAAAGCGATATTTTTTCCAAATGCTAGGTAGTTACTTAAAAATGACCAACATTATGGTAATCAGGGTAGCTTTTGTGGCAGGGGAATCACGCAATTTCCGGCATTCCTTCCGGACGACCTTCACTGCAGGTGCTTGCCTCCCATTTGCACTGGAAGTCGGTGGTAGACCTCACCAGCCACCAACCACTGCACCCGACCATCAAAGTAGAAGACTGGTCTGCTGGTCGTGGGAGTTTTCCACCCTGGTATAATGCACTTACATATAATCAGCGGCTCCGTCGCTCAATGGATGATAAACGCTTTAACTTTTCAACCTGCTGCCATAATTTCCAGGCTAATTGCCCTGCGCTCGAAATGGAAATTTACAAATCAATAAATTTAGTGGCCGGCGCTGGTGGAGGTTCGTCCTTCCCCATGGTTGCCATAATTATACACGGCCTGTCCTGTCGCCACGGACTGACTTTCGTTATTGTTTGCACTGAAAGACGTTGCCGAGGCTCTCATAAAGCCATCAAATGCGAAAGGACACTGGAAGAAACCCAGGTGGGTAATATAAGGAAAAGGTCATAGCATATAATACGTGTATATATTTACAAATATATATTGCCGTGTGAAACGAACCAAGTTAATTAAACCACCAAATGTACCCATACATATTTGATTTCTTATTGGTTGATCAAAAAATCAAAAAGGTTCTTAAGTATAAATCAAAACAACAAATCTCATTGGTGGGAGATTTTCGAACAGAGTGTTTTCCGAATATTCCGAACAACCAATAGCATCTTAAGGATTTAAAACAGATGTTAAACGAAACGATTTCGTATTTATTTTCCGTGTAAATGGGGGCCGGTAGTCCGCACGGAAACCGAAAATCCAATAACGGTTTTGGGCTCCAAGCCTTGCGTGCTCCACGAAGTCATAGGTTTTCCAGTTTAGTTCGCAATCGCCGCCCGTGCCATCAAGTAGCCTGTCAAACGATGGCCAACTTCAGTCCGCACCAGCTGTCGAATCCCCGGGCCAATGTCTTCATCCTGGTCAATCTGGGGTGCGAGATGCTCTACGTGATCGATCAGCGGCTGAAGGCGCAGCAGATTGCTCAGGACAAGTCGGTTCAGGGTAAGAAATGCCGCCAAGAAATACGAACTTAGATATGTTAGATATAACATTGGAGATGCTAATCGCGTCTTGGAGTCTTCTATATGACTTTATGTTTAAATTGGAATGTATATAAATGTTTTAAAGGATAATATATATTTTCCATCAGTCATCCACGATGTGACTACAGTACTGCTCGAACCGAAGTTTATAGACTCGCTCCTGAACGGATCGAAACACAAAAGTGCGCAGCTTTTGACCGCCGATCACTGCAAGTTTATGCTGAACGACGTAGCCACCTGCTCATTGATGCGACTCGACGAGCAGTCGATGTCCAAGCTGTGGAATCTGATGACCATGGTCTACAAGTGGCAGCTGTTCGTGTCCCGCCATCAACACCACCTGCTAGAGATTACCTTTCGGCATTTGGAGGCGGTCAACAGGTTGTATCCGGATGCTAAGCGGCACATGTTGATTGACTTCACGAAGAACACGCTGCTGGACTTTTGGAATGCCAGCGGCGAGGATGCGCAGCTGTCCATCTACCAGACGAATCGGGCCTGGCTGCAGTGCTTCAACACAAAGATATCGCTTCTGATTCGCATGGGTTTTCAGGCCATGGACGGGAGTTTCATCAGGGACGTGGATCAGGATTACTACGCGGAATACGTTGAGTCAGCCGGGGATAATATCTATGCGAAGAGTGCCGAGCAACGGGAACGCCAACAACGTGAGCCGAACAGCATGGATCAACTGGCAGCTCAGCTGAACATAAATCCGCCGCAAAGCGAGGATCTGCAGCCCATCAACGCCCGCCAGTTCCAGCAGCAGTTCGAGCAGGCCTTCGGCAATGTGCTCTTCAATGACCCAGCAGCCAGCTCCTCTGGTTGCGAGTTTGTCCAGCTAAAGCCCACGACGGCTTCCTCGGAAAAGGTGGCGACGACAATGTCCAGGGGAGGATCCTTGCTAAACCAGAACCTGCTCGACTTGTACAGCAAAATGCCTTGAAGCCAAAGCCACTTCGTTTTGAAAATATTGTATTTCTTGTTCAGTTGGTTTTTGTAAAATAATTATAAAAACACTGTAGGTTGCAGAGTTCTCGTTTGTTTGTTTGTTTTTCTCTTGTTTTCATCGAAGACATTGTTGTGATCAAAAAATAAATCAACGTTAGAATTTTGAGCTTGCGACTTGTTGTGAACAAATGTGAAATGTGTGGTGGGCGTGTGTGGTGTACGGTGCGGGGTAAAATATAAGCAAAGGTCGAAATGTACAATTACAAATATAAAAGTTAAGGGCGTGCTCCCCATCGCGCTGCTGCCTGCGCTACAGACTTATGGCAACAACATGTATACTCAATTACTCTTCTCGATTTGTGTGTCTCGCTTGTAATACGCTGTCTCCAGTCAAAGTAAGCAAAGGAAAAGTTCGTCCGTGTTGGTGGTGTGGGGTTGGTTCTTCAGCGGCAGGATCCGATTACATCTTCGCCTTGAGCGGCACTGCGTCCACCATGATATGCAGGGCCATCTTTAGGCACTCCTCCGCGGAGCTTATCTGCTCGCACGGATAGGCGGCACCGTATTGCGTGAGGAAGTCGCAGTACTTTCGGTAGTTGCTCACTGCGAAATCGTAGTTGTAGGCGCCCAGAGCCATTTCCGTGTCATCGGTAACCGATGGCACCGTCGCCTTGTGCGGCATCCGTCCGAACGTGGGGTAGTCCAGCTCGCAGCCCTCGCACTTGCAATCGAAGCGGTACTGCATTGACAGCGTTTTCAAGCGCTGCTGCTTGCTGCTGATGGCGAAGTGAGCACTGAAAAGTTTAGTTTTAGTATTTGCAGAGAATTAGAGTGACTTGGGCGTCTATTAACTTGCATTATCTATTAATGATGTGTATATTAAGCTTTAACGTGAACTGACTACCCAAAATAGTACTACTTACTGCATTTGGTCTGTTCAGAATGCTTTGGTTACTACTTACCCGTAGTTATCGTAGAGCTTATTTCCCGCCTTTATAGGCCGCAGGATGAACATGTACGCCTTGGTGCCCTCGTATATCCTTACAGTATTCGGCGCACACGAGTGATTTAATAGAGAGAGAAAGGCGTAAGCCCCGGACGAGTGCGTCTGGTCGTCCTTGGTCTCGTTAACCTGCTCGACCAGGTCGATACCGTGCATATTCGAGGGCGATGTCTGCAGATGTCGGAATAGGAGGTCCGTGAAGAAGTTCATGCCTTCTTCGCCGCCCAAATGGTCCTTGAGCGGTGTGTATTCGATTATGAAGTGCTTAAGCACAGCACAGACCACGGAGCGCTGGAAGAGATCGGAGACGGAGCGCAGGTGCTGGTTGGTCACTAGCCCGTGGATTGCCCGGTAGTGCTCCTGCGGTGACAGCTGGCTGTAGTCGAGGTCAAAGGCGCACTTGTGCTGGTTCTGCTGCTGCTCACAGAAGGCCATTAGCTCCTCGATGCTGGGATAGAGATCCAGGGCGGCCAGCGTGGTGCGCAGGGCGATACCGTGGATCTTGTTGAACATGCGGTGCAGAAAGTCAATGATTGGGCACTCGAAGCGGTGATAGGTGGACATGGCCTGCTGCTTGCACTCCTCGGAGCAGAACATCACGGAGCAGCAGCTGTCGCAGGGTATGAGGGTCAGGTAATTCTCCCGCTTGCAGGTGGCACAACGAATGTATCGCATGGGCGCCAGCAGTGTGGAGCAGAAGGGCTGCTCCACGGCCACAAGATCCCCAACGACCAAATCCCGATTAGTCACCACAAAGCGACCCTCGTCGGCGGATTCGCGCAACTCCAAACAGTCGGCGATGAAGGGCACCTGGGGGTGCGAATTGAAACTGAGCTTAAACTCATAGGGCACCACATCCGGCGGCTGCTGATCTAGTAGCTGTTGGCAGTCTCTTTCCCGCTTGTCCAGTTTGTGGCTCAGTCTCGCCGGATAGTTGGCCTTCCTTGCCAGCTCGATATTGGCCAGACATTGCCGGTAGCGCTTCCACTCGAACAGGACCGCCGACCGGTTAGCATAGCCTATGGACAGGTGCTCCGAGTTCGGTTCGGCATAGCAGATGCTTTTGTTATACAGCTCTAGAGCCTGAAATGGGTCGCAGGGATTAGCTAGAGACTAGAGACCGGTAAGCGTTTACCCATTGAGGGGGCGATAATTACCTGAAAGTATTTCCTGTTCTTGAGCGAAAACTGCTCGTTGCCCAGCATTCGGAACTCCACGCTCCGCTTGTTGCACTTGTCCTCCCGGAGCGTTACATTCAGGAATATCTTCTCCATGTACTTGAAGTCAATAAGAGCGCGCATCACGAAGTCAACCTTGCGATGGTTCTCCTTCAGCTCGTTGAACTTGCCGGATATGATGCCGATCAGCTTCCAGTCGTTCAGCTTCTTCACCAGATCATCGCTAACGTCGTACACGTCCATCTCTTGTGCGGGGAGGTCGGATGTCCTTAGTGTCCTGGAAATTTCTCCGGATAGGATAGCTTCGGATCCTTAGGTTCGGTCCGCGTGTCGACGCCGCCGCCTGTTTTTTTCAGCAGGAAAAACGGTTCGTTTGGTCTACTGCCGGTGCCGCGAATTCTTTGGCTGGCGCAAGGGCTGACCGCTAATTAGCGATATCACGGGCAATTTCAATTCGGCAATATTGCAATTATTCGCACGGCGATTTTAATGTTATTTTTTGCCAATCCGCTGGAAGCAGTGTGGAGTTAGCCTGCGAATAATTAACGCTGCATTGAAAAAATCCCCTAAAAAATGCCGCAAGTCGACTGCTTGGCTACTAGCCGGTTCACAAACCTTTGGGTTTGCTTTCAAATTTTCACGGAGATAATATTAATTCCAAATTCATCAAATGAAAAATGAATATAACTAAGAATAAAATCAGAGATTTATAGATTTCTGTTCAAAGAATACAATGTAGAGATCGTAAATATTAAAGTGGATCCACAGTGGTTACATCCGATTGGGAAAACTTTTATTTGCAGGCCCAGCTAGAATTATATTTAAAACGTGCCACGTAAATATGGGTTGATTAATTGAAAGTAAAATCAATTATAATTTTAGCATATTTGAAAGAAATAAAACTGAGCTTTTTTGCTGCTAGTTGTCACAGTGTTTCCATACCGTTAATTGTAAAAGGCGCCATCTTTGAAAATCGTTGTGAGGGTGGTCACACTGGCAGCAGTTTCACTTCCAATTTCCTCTTCAATCCGTACGAATTTTTAGTTTTCTAAGAATCCGGGGAATTATTGGCAGCCAAGTTTGTTTAACAATCGCCCTGTTCTCAGACGGCCGCCGCACCAGTTCGGTTCAAGTTGAAGGCAAGGGAATATTATTTTTAGCCAGTAGGCCACAGCTAAGTGGCACCGTGTTGTGTCTAAAAATTTTGTTTGGCTGCGTCTGCAAATAAATCAAACCGTTTTCGAATCAAATTTTGGGAACCAAATCGACGAGAGGTGTGTAGGAATAAAAATTAAATATAAATTTAGCTTAAAAAAGGGCGTGGGCCGCAATATGAATTTATTGTACAGATGCCCATCATACGTCTGGAGTCTGCGGACAAGGAGATCTTCGACACGGATCAGGAGATCGCCAAGTGCTCGGAAACGATTCGCATTGCACTGGAGGATATGGGCGATGAGAGCGACAACAGTGTGCTGCCCTTGCCGAATGTGAACTCCCTGATCCTAAAGAAAGTGCTCCACTGGGCCACCTACCACAAGGACGATCCCATGGTTGCCGAGGAGGATGAGAACAAGGAGAAGCGCACGGATGACATTTCATCCTGGGACGCCGACTTCCTCAAAGTGGATCAGGGCACTCTGTTCGAACTGATCCTCGCGGCTAACTACCTGAACATCCAGGGTCTGCTTGATGTCACCTGCAAGACGGTGGCCAATATGATCAAGGGCAAAACACCGCAGGACATTCGCGACACCTTCGCCATCCAGAATGACTTTTTGCCACAGGAGGAGGAACAGGTGCGCAAGGAGAACGAGTGGTGTGAGGAGAAAAATTGAAGGATACCTACTGGCTAATTAAGCGGCTAGGCGAACCAAATCAAATTAATATAAATTTACCGTGGCGAAATTAAAGCTTACATTTGGGTTTCTCATTTCAAAAGCGTAAGCAATTGTCTTATAAAGGGTCGTGTTGGGCTTATTGATATTTTTAAAATACAATGCAAGCTTTTTTCTTATTGAAAATATATTCAAATGTAGCTTGCACATTGTTGCCTAGAAAATGTGAACAAATTTAAGAAATTCATCGAGTACAAAACGTTTAATTTTATTTACAGTGAGCATGAATTTGAAAGTATTACCATTTGATTTACTTAATACAGTTTAAACGCCGTGTGAGCACCTCCACGACCGTGGCCACTACACCCGGTATGGTTAACACACCATGGCCATGGCCAATTTCCTAATGTTAGTTGCGTTCGTTTACCAGGAATCTGAAGATTAATAGGGCGATAACCACTGTCAGGAAGGGTTTCACCAAGGACAGCGCCAGCCGGAAGAAAAAGATGATTGTGTAGAATGTACCCACCAGGAACAGCACGAATACGATCAGTTCGCCCATTGCAGTGGACGTGGACACGTTCCTGTGGACGCAAGAAAGGAACAGCGTGACGCATAGTTCGTCACTCTTCCTGCCGTTCTGCTCCAAAACGCCGACACTGCTGTAGATTTTCTCCATGGCTAGATTGGCGAATGTAAGCGTGGATAAACGTGTAGCTCTGTGGACCAAACAAACCCCCCAATTGCGAAAATCAGCTGTCTGTGTGACCGCATTTCGATCCTAGTGGCAGCACTGCCACTGAAAAGTCAAGGTATCAGCAGTGGATTAAAAAATAGTGGATGAAAAATATTAAAGTTAACGATTGATAAATCAGCTAGAGATGCAATTAATCGTACCCGTGACCCCTAGAGCAAAGGGATCTATAGTATTATTTGAAAAATAACGCATACATTTTCAAATATAATATATAAATTAAATTTTTGTTTAATCATTTTTTTTCATTGTTTATTTAAAGAGATGAAGTTTAAGGGCAACTAATAGGAAGCGGACTTTATTGTTTATTTGAAGTTAGCTAATACAGTATGCGGTATCTGATAGTTTACGCTTTTCATTGCTCGTCTATTAAATGAAAAAATGATAGCGAGAAAACAGAGCTTTTGAAAAAATTGAGTGCAGCTCATTAATGCAATTAATGTCACTAAAGCCCTAAAATACAGCCTAAACAGTAACCCCACAGGCGGTTTTGTAAATTGTGGCTGGATTTTGGATATCTGGTTAGCTTGCATTAAAATCGGATTACTAGGAAAAATTATGGATTATGGCGCATTGATGGCTCCTAATTGCCTCTCTCAAGTTACCAACGGGGCCAAAAACATTTTTTTTTTTTTTCAAACTACAGTGTTTTAAAGCGAACCTGGCCATAAATCTAAATGGCGACCTTTCCACTTCGGCGCTGTGCATTGAACTGGCAGCAAATTTGTAAAATCCCCTGGATTCCCCAGGGAATCGCTGCCGTGCAAAACGATACCTGAAACTGACGCTTGATACAAAAATAAAGAATAAAATCTCGACAGACGTACAATAAGCAATTTTCTTTTTAGGGCTCATTCGGTTCAACGTACTGCACGTACTATTTTCTGAGAAATTTAAATAAATTGAAATAAATGGCGGCAGGTAGGGTTCTTTATATATGTATTTCTATCACAGACAATGTGAAAAGCATTAGAGCTCGTCTTAAAATGCCTGGGCGCATGAAGATTTCACCAAAAATTCAGTTGCATTGTTCTTTCAGTCCACCTGTTATTAGCCATGCTCTTTGCGGCAACCGACATGAGAAAGTGGACACTGGACATGGGGGCAAGTGGCAGAAAGTGCAAACAGATGTCCAACTGGGCTACAGCTGCAGCTGCATTCTGGACTAGAAACGAAACTTCAGGGAACTGAACTCGACTTGATGCAACTGACAGGTTGACTTTGACACAAAGCCCAGGAGGACGGGCTCTGGGTCTATAAATAAGGCATGACCCCACGACCCCACGACCCCACGACCATGTTACCATGTGGTGACAGTGATGCCAACGCTCTATATAATTCATTGGGTTGCACTGTTGTAAGTTGAATAGACAGCTAATAGAAGAGGTCACATTAAAGTATACAAAGTACACCGTTTGTCGTGATCCTGAGTGTAAGGAATATCAAGAAAATTACACTTATTGTACATACATGTTTAAGATGGTTAAGGTGTTTCAAAATGTGTCGAATAGTAGTAGGCTTCAACAATTTGCTTACATCGTAAGAACACTGTGTACATTATCTTATACACAATTTCATTGATTGCAAAATATGGGAATTTCTGTGCCGCTTCAGTAAAAGCTGTACCAAATCTGTGGAGACTTATGAGGCCTTTGTATAATGGATTTCCTTGGATTTATTCCAGCCTTTTTTTGAGGAGGCTTTCGAGGAAACATCCAAGTCGGCATCTCTGTTTGCTGACCCAATGCGAGTTGGTCTGATTCTGTGTGTTTGAGGGTGTTGCAAGTGCAACAACTGTGTCACGCCTTGTTTCTGTGGACGACAAGGCGGAGAATAGTGCACAAAATACAGAATATTTCATTCCGACTGCGCCGGGAATGGGGAGGGGGAGCGGGATGGCCACAATCTGCTAGAGCCAGCTTGTTATTATTTCTGGCTTTTGTTGCTTGCTTCATAAAAGTGTTGTCTTGTGTTGTCCACGTGTGTTTGCCTCTTTGTCTGTCTGTCTGCCTGTCTGCTTGCCTGTTTGTTTGGTTTGTTTGTTTCCCCGGCACTTCCTGTTGCTCGTTCGACTTCTGGCGGAGCGTTTCCGGTTCCTTTCATTTGCTATTCCACCCGTAAACGAACGCTCGCCTGCGCTCCACTTCATTTTTGCTCTCTCTGGATTTGCCTCGCTCTGCAGCTATGTAAGTTACATATGTGTGTACGAGTATTTGCTTGACAAATTCCTAGAAATCCCTAAATATTTAATACCTCGCACCATCAGACACAAAAGTGTTTAAAGCACTTCAAAGCACAAGGAGCTCCCGAGCCATGCGGAGAATCCACCTACAAAAGTGTGTGTGCCAGTGCCAGTGCCAGCTTCACCTGCCATTTCCATCGGGAACACTATTATCCGTTGACACCTTTCGCTGTTTTTCCATTAGATTGGTCTCCCAGCTCGCAACAGTACACTTGACCAAAAATGTCGATAGTTGTCGCTTAAGTTGCATAGGATATTTAATATTTAAGATGTGCACTTGAAAGTTTGCCTAAGGTTGTTAGTTGGATATGGCCATCTGTAAAATATATCGAAATTCTAAGATCATATACTTTGAAGTATTCTCATATTAATCGGTGTCCGTGGTGTGGTTCCTTACAGGTTTTTTCACATGGTAGTATTTGACATTATCTGGCAGTGCACTTGCACTTTGTCACCCATTTTTTTTCCCCTTCACCTGGGCGAGCGACACGTGTCACCTGTAAAGTGCATCGGATCCGGCAACCGCATCTTTAGCAACTCAGAGCTGAACTTTTCGCGACGGAAGACTCTTGAGTGCCCGAGTATCCGCGTCTGTTGCTAGGCGGGAGCAAAGTCATTTGACATAGTCAACTTGTCTTTAATTAATGAGCACACCGAAAAGCGCGCATAAAATTGCTTTGCGTCCCGGGCGTAGGGCTTCAACTTGAGGTGGCGGAAAGCAACAGGTGGAACGGGTGCTCCCCCAGGAAGTGGCCGTAAGGAGCCACTCGAAAATGTTCGAGGGCCAAAGCAAAGTTTGGGGCAAGAAATAAAGGAAGGCTGGCGGGCATAGGAAAATAACAAGGAGCCCAAGAACAAACAAAAAGGCCACGGGCCCAAAGGATACGAGTATCCTTTTGGGCACCAACGCGCCTTTGTGTATTCTTAATGGATCCACCCGAATCATTTGACCAAAGATCCAAAAAGGCCTTTATCCGCGCTTAAATGTCAGCGCGTTATGAAATTATGGGCTGAATGAAATTATTCACAAATAAATTAAATTGCGCAGTCAACGGGAATCATTTATGTATATTATGTTTACACTCTCCTTTTTTCCTTTTTTTTTTCTTTTCCTCATTTCACTTTTTTATATTTTCAGTATTTTCATTCAATTTTAAGCTGCCACTCCTTATCCCCGCCTGAAATATCAAAGGTGAGCCGGCGGTGGAGTAGTTTCCTCGAGCCTCTGCTCCAGGTGAGGGATGCCAGGTAGCCTCCGTTCCGTCGTGTCAATTCAATCAAGCCACCAGCTCACCAGTTCACCTGCCCACCTGCCCACCTGAGGCACCTAACGCACCGAACGCACCTGACTTGCCTCCACCTGGCTTTCTGCAACTTAATCTCGATGTTGTTGGGACCGTCGTTGTTTGGTTATACAAAATGAGAATTTATTGTACGGCACACATAAGCTGACTATAATAAAATTTCAATTTGCCCGACAAACGATGTCGTCGACACTCGTTTTCCCGCATAAAGCCAAAGAAGACGCACAAAGCAATAGCAGTTCCCCCAGCAAAAGCATACGCAAATATCGTTTATGTACAAACAATATTCACGCTTATTGCGATGTGAAAGTTGGCGAGCCCTTGGCCAACCGTTTAACTTTTTAGTTTGAAACGCGTTTGCTCGAAATTCGGGAAAAATTTGAAACATTTGGAACAATAGCAGTCTGCAAATGCAGCCATAAATATCATGGAGTTTTTTTCTGACTTGGAAGTCAAGCAAACTATGTGCACATCTGTACTACGTATGTATTATTATTATTAGTACTTATATTCATATTTAAAATTATCAAATTCAGCTCACCATTAATTAAGTATCAATAATTTGATCTCTCGATTAGTATAAGTATATAAAGTGTTTGAAAATGCAATATTAAACTGTATCTTGAAAGGTATTTCGTGCTCTGGCTGGCATGGGTTTCTCAGAAGAAGCCTTTTCTAGTACCTGTATAAGCTTTTAAAAGAAAACATATTTGTCACAAAGAATATCTGTTTTTGTCTTATAATCGCTTTAAGGTTTTATAGCAGCCGCATCGGGCTGTGGCAGATGTCCTAAGGGGTCACGACCCGATCGAAGTAATCCATGTGCCTGGAAATGGCGTTCGCACGCTTTGAGGGCTGGAGCGAGGCGGGCGGCATACAGACCCCAGACCTCAGACCACATCTATTGATATGACATTTGCCGGTCGGCGACTTCCAATCCTCAATGACGTCACCCGGGAGCAAGTGAGTTGGGAGCAGGGAGTATGCTGCGGAGCTCACGTACAGCACGCTCGTTAAAAATTGACGATGTGCATCAGCGGGTGGCGCTGTGGAATAGCTTAGGCAAGGTGATGGTGTTCCAAAGCTCAGTTCAGTACGGTTGGGCACAGGTTGGTGGGGTCAACCACGTGTCTGTAGCACTTAACCCATTGACCGCGGTACCACTTTTGCGCCCAGCATTTATCGGTGAATGTATTTCTCCCGGCGTTTTCAGCATTTATTGCATTTTTAAAGCCGTCGCCTTGACTCAACTCGCATCTCGAAACCCATAAAAATGGGGGCCCACTGAAGCCAGGCCCAAGAGCACCCAAAGGACATCCAGCATACACTTACTGGCTCCCATATACATATATGCATATATGTCTGCTCATATATGCTCATATAAATATCTAAATGTTTTGCATACTGCATGGCCCTTGACACGCCGCCTTTTAGCCCTCGCTCGCCCAGATATAAATACGTAATGCATGTCAGTTTGGTTTTGCGCTTTGATTTACC